AATACTGTTGCTATCCAGTATGCCCAGGATCCGAAGTTTCATAGAAAAACCAAGCATATCAAAAGGCGTTATCGTTTTGTACGAGACGCAATAAAAAATAAAGAAGTTGTCATTAAGTATATACCCACAAATAAAATGATAGCTGATCCTTTAACTAAACCTATACGCAGAGATGCTTTCCAAACTCATGTGAAGAGTCTTGGTTTGCGTAGGTTTTAATTTTATTTTTGTGGGATAATGGATGTGTATAATGTTACACCGAACATATATGAAATTTGTTGTTCTTTGATATGTTCTTTAGCATATGTTGCATAAGTAGGCATGAGTATTGATGTCAACAGGCTTTTGATTACGCTTATCACACAAGTAATCGCCCTATCACATTAGTTGTGAGTAATAGGATGAGACTATGTCATATTCATATTAAGTGTATGTAATATGAATTGTATTTATACTTTTGTTGTATAAATATATCCTTACAGTCGCCTTAGTAAGTATAAGATGAGACTCTAACGAGTCGAATATGAAATAATCCTGATTTCATATCAAAGCCTTGAAGCCGAATCTCGAGTAGAAGATAAATTATTAAGTATATTTATCAAGTGGCTCGGGTTAGATACTTGAGTAGTATCTAGACTAAAGATTCGTATAACATAGTAGAGTGACATGTCCATCATAGTGGTAGCTATGTTATGACACGTATATCATACTGCGTGTGCTTTGAACGACCTTTAAGGATTGACAAATGATTCCCTACTTTGTCAAGGTGTGAATCCTATGGATTATGTTGTCCAATTTTGTACGAAGCCTTTTGACTTAGAACTATGTTATGAAATTGAGACTTAGTGTTGCTACTTTAATATGTCATCCAAGAGCTATGATCGATACAGTTCGACGGAGCATGTTAGGAAAGCAACTAAGTTGAGATGAAGTTTCATTAGTGTCTAAGAAATAGCTGATTCAACTTCACCACATTAGCCCGGGCGGTTGTATTTGAATATAACCATGTTGTGTATATAGCATATAGGGACTGTGTATGCTATCGGTGATTTTTGAACAGTTAGAGGTTATCGTAAGTATGAAAGTGTTATGTTAGTTAGATGGTGACTTAATATAACGCTGTTATTGTTGCATTTGGTCGCACGTTCTATTACCCGTATGAGGCAAGAGATTTGCTAATAAAGATTTTTTGTTATAGTCTCAACTTAAGTGGCTGAGTGGGAGTATTGTATTTAATTGATGTTATGTTGCATCAATTAATAACATCCACTTAAAGATGGTGTGTTACAACCTCATTCATCTCCATTAAGTATAGAGTTATGAGAAGTGTGCTTAAAGTCTTCATTTAATTGAGTTCCATGAAGACAAGTATAAATATGATGCTTTGTGCATCATGAAAAGACAACAATACGAGACAAGAATATAGTTAGAGAGATATACATAATCTTTATAAAGTGTTTTTCTCTTGTTGAGCCGAAACCATCTTAAAGCGGCTCGGATCTTAGAACGTGGAGGATACCGACGACTCTAGTAGCCGTCGGATAAAAGATACGGGCAAATATTTGCTTCCGCTACATAAAGGTCAGTCCTATATATATTTATATATGCGTTATATAAAACCACTAACAAATACGAAATTGTACTTAAAACTATGTTCAATTAGAATATTTAATTGTAATTCTAATTTTATCACTAAAACACACAAAAAACCAATGATATGTTAAGCATGCCATTTCAAA